GATTAAGGGTGTGCGCCACCAAGACGGGATAGTTTTTGTTTTTGTTTTTTTTTTTTGTTGTTGTTGTTTTTGTTTTGTTTTTTCTTTTTTTTTTTCTTTTTTTGGCTTTTTCGAGACAGGGTTTCTCTGTGGCTTTGGAGACTGTCCTAGAACTCGCTTGATAGTCCAGGCTGGTCTCGAACTCACAGAGATCCGCCTGCCTCAGCCTCCCGAGTGCTGGGATTAAAGGCTTGGGCCACCAACGCCCGGCTTGTTTTTGTTTTTTCAAGACAAGGTTTCTCTGTGTAGCCGTCCTTGGCTGTCTTGGAACTTCCTTTGTAGACCAGGCTGGCCTGGAACTCACAGAGATCCGCCTACCTCTGCCTCCCGAGTGCTGGGATTAAAGGCGTGCACCACCACCGCCCGGCACCAACCACCATCTTAACCACTTTTAACTGCAGTCTCAACGAAAGCCCCCAAACTTTTCATTTCACAAACTGAAACTGAGTCTAACAAACGATCATGCCCATCCCCCACGAAGCTCCCGCAACCATTAACTTCCTCTGAGACACTGCCTGGGGTGCTTTCAGTCAGAGCTGTGAAAAGGCTCCTGCGGGGCAGTCTCCTGGGCCCTCTTTCTCACCTATGTGATTCCTTCCATTTTTCTTGATATTCCGCAACATGTGATCTGGGCAGACCTGTTTGGACCACATTTGCCTTGTAAGACCTGGTGTTGAGAAAACAGGATATTTCTTTTTTTAACCCTGCAGGCCTGGAATCCAGTTGACTCCCCTCCCCACACACATTTATGGGAGGTGGGGAGGGCATGCCTGTGAAGGTCAGAGAATAACCCGTGGGTCCCAGAAATCTGGTTTAGGTCATTAAGCTTGGAAACACTTTTGCCCACTGAACCATATCCCTGGTTCCTCTCCCCACCCCACCCGGCTAAGAACACCCAGAATGCCCCCCACAAACCCACAGCAATCATTTCTCTGAGGGCTGGAAACAAGTGTCAGGTCTGCCCAGTCTGGCAACAAACTGCGATCTTCTCACAACCTCGCTCCCACAACTTTTTTGTTTTGTTTTGTTTTTTCCAGCCAGGGTTTCTCTGTATTGTTTTGGAGGCTGTCCTGGAACTCTCTCTGTAGACCAGCCTGGCCACAAACTCCTGCCTCTGCTTCCCGAGTGCTGGGATTAAAGGCGTGTGCCACCAACGCCTGGCTTCCCATAACTCTTAAGTCCCAGGGGCCATAGGACATTTAAGGAAATAGTTTTTGAAAATAGACTGGAAGAGACGGGGCAATTAAAAAGGAAGCTGATGAAGGCACCAGTAGAGTGCTGGGGCAGGGAGACATTGTTTTGGGCCCAGCTTGGTTCTTTCAAGAACCCTGAGAACCTAGAGACCGGCCCTGAGCAGCAGAAAGGGTCTATCGACGGTGGAAAGGCTACAGGTGAAGCAGGATGCCTGGCTGTGTCTGTAACGGCCCCTCCCTGGCTGACCACATGGCTAGAGACCCTAAGTTCACACCGTAAGGGAGGTAACTAAGAAGACCCCAAGAGCCTATGCCATGAGCAGAAGGACAGGGATCAGTGAGCTGGTGTTGACTGACACTGTTCATCACTCCCTGAAAGAGCCCATTTGTCCCCTACTACCCCGTTCCCTGTGTATTTTTTTTTTCTTTTTTTTTTTTTGGTTTTTCGAGGCAGGGTTTCTCTGTGGCTTTGGAGGCTGTCCTGGAACTAGCTCTTGTAGACCAGGCTGGTCTCGAACTCACAGAGATCCACCTGCCTCTGCCTCCCAAGTGCTGGGATTAAAGGCGTGCGCCACCAACGCCCGGCTCCCTGTGTATTTTCATCAGTGTCTGGCCCTGTGTATTTTCAAACTGAAGATGAGATGAACTGATCCATCCCACTAGATATTGTGCTAGGCGTAAGGCCCTGTCTTAAGACAAAAGAACAAAACAGAGTTGGAGAGTGCTTGCTTGGTATGCAGGAATTTGATCCTAGCACTGAATATAGTGGGGCATGGGGGTCCCCAATAGGCCAAAGGTAAAGGCTGAAGAAACAAAAGTTGAAGGTCATTCTCTTGAGTAGCATATAGAGTGTGATGTTAGCATTCTCTGAGTCAGAATCTCACACACAAAAATTGACCGTGGTGGCACCACCTTTAGTCCCAGTACTCAGGAGGCAGAGGACTACATAGAGAAACCCTCCTTCTCATTGGGCAGTGGCTATCCACGTCTTTAATCACAGCACTCAGGAGGCAGAGGCAGGTGGATATCTGTGAATAAGAAACCGGTCTCAAAAACAAACAAAAAGAACTAGATGGTGGTGGCACACACCTTTAATCCCAGAACTCTGGAGGTAGAGACAGCCAGATCTCTGTGAGTTTGAAATGAAACACTCTGAGTTTGAGCCCAGCCTGGTCTACAGAGTGAGTTCTAGGGCAGTCTCCAAAGCTACAGAGAAACCCTGTCTCAAAAAAAAAAAATAAATAAATAAATAAAAGAAAGAAAAAGAAAAGCCAAAAAGAAAAAAAAAAACAACCCTTTCTCAAAAAGCAAAAACAAAAAAAATCAGCTTCGGAGGCTGGAGAGATCGCTCAACAATTAATAGCCATGGCTGCCCTTCCAACAACCAGGATTAAACTCCCAGCACCCACATAGCAGCTCATAACCATCTGTAACTTCAGGGATTGAATACCCTTGTCTGACCCACGAGGCACATGTGTGTTGCACAGACATACATGCAGAAAAAAACACTCATACACAAAGCCGGGCGTTGGTGGCACACGCCTTTAATCCCAGCACTCGGGAGGCAGAGGCAGGCGGATCTCTGTGAGTTCGAGGCCAGGCTGGACCGACAGCCTCCAAAACAGAGAAACCCTGATGTGTAAAACCAAAAAAAAAAAAAAAAAAAAAAAAAAAACCACTCATACACAGAAAAAAAAATGTTCTTGATTTTTCAGTACAGAGTTTCTCAATGTAACAGCCCTAGCTGCCCTGGAACTCTCTTTGTAGAGCAGGCTGGCCTGGAACTCACAGAGATCTCCCTGACTGCCTCCTGAGAGCAAGTCAATATATGTACACATATTTTAAGTGAAGGTGTGTGTGTAGTGAGCACAGGAGCCCACGGATGCCGATGATGTCAGATCTCCTGGGGCTGGAGTTACAGGAAGCAAACTTAGGTGCTCTGTAAGAGAAGTCTGCATCTTGAGTGCGGATCCCTCTGTCCACCGCACAGCATTTTCTTGTTTGACTCTCCACTTCAGTTTTCTCTTGAACATGGCCTTCTGATAAACATGGCCCCCAGTGAAATGGCTCAGCAGGTAAAGCTGATTGCTATGGAGCTTAGTGAGTTAAATCTTCAGAACCTAGCACTTGGGAGGCAGAGGCAGGTGGATCTCTGTGAGTTCGAGAACAGCCTGGTCTATAAGAGCCAGTTCCGGAACAGCCTCCAAAGCCACAGAGAAACCCTACCATGAAAAACCAAAAAAAAAAAAAAAAAACCCTTCAGAACCCACATTGTGGAGATAGCTGAGGCCTTGTTGTTAGCATGCTAATTGAAGAAAGAGACCATAGAACACAAACTTAATTTTTTTTTTAAATGGCTTTCTACCTGGCCTGAGTCTTCAACTAGATCACTCCAGCTTCTTCAAGTTTTTTTAAGATCCCAACATTTAGCCGGGCGTTGGTGGCGCACGCCTTTAATCCCAGCACTCGGGAGGCAGAGGCAGGTGGATCTTGGTGAGTTCGAGGCCAGCCTGGTCTACAAAGTGAGTTCCAGGACAGCCTCCAAAGCTACAGAGAAACCCTGTCTCGAAAAACCAACCAACCAAACAAACAAACAAAAAAGCTGGTTGGAGGCTAGCCTGGTCTATATAAGACCATATTTCAAAAAATTGTCCTTAGGCCTGACATAGTGGCACACACCTTTTGTTGGTTTTTTTTTTTCGAGACAGAGTTTCTCTGTATTGCTTTGGAGGCTGTCCTGGAACTCCATAGACCAGGCTGGCCTTAACACACATCTTTAATCCTAGCATTCAGGAGGCAGAGGAAGGAAATCTCTGTGAGTTCAAGCACAGCCTGAGCCCACATAGTGAGTTCCAGGACCGCCAGAGCTACTATCTCAAAAAATAAAACTTTGTTCTTTGTCATTTATTTGGGAAACTGTCTTTGTCTCAACCGTCCCAGATTAATTGACCTTCCTACATGCTCCAACATCCTCCAGGCACAAACCCCAGTCACCGGAATTACTCATTTACTCCAGTACCTCCCCTAACGAACAATGCCTTTACCACACTGTCAACATTTATGTGGTTTAGAACAGTACCTAGGAAAGGATGGGTCAACTTGTGATTGAGGCCACAAACAGACTTATCCAGAGTTCTGTTCAGCTCCCCTTCCACAGATGGGGAAACCTGGGTTCAGAGAGCAGAGGTCGTCTGCCAAGGTCGGTTAGCAAGTGGTGGCAGGGCCTGGGTCTGAATCCAGGTGTGTCCCTTTGCCCTCATGTCCTTATCTGGAAGATTCCTTCCCCCACCCTGGAGAAGGAACAGGGTCTAGGGAGGAGGCAGAGGGAGGGTTAGGAATTCAAATTGGCAGGGCTTGGGGGGGAGGGGATAGGGAGTGGCAGTGGCTAGGACTTGGGCAACAGGGTCCTGGGACTATAGCAACACCGGGAGAGGGCCTGGAGCAAATCCTGCCTGCTGAGTCAGAGATACCTGAGGGACTCCAGGTGGAAACAGAGATTTCCGAGAAATGGATCTGGGTTGGGGCCAAGAAAGCATCCCAAAGTAGTGGACCAAGAGGTAGAACTGGTGCTGAGGACCCACCCCAGGAGAAAGAGGCCTCAGCAGGGCAGAGGGCCACATTTTCCAGAAGCTGGGAGTGGTCAGCCCTACAAGGTCAGGCCAGATAAGAGCTGCAATAAGGCCCAGCCTCCCTTGTGATTATGACCAAAGCCTCCTGTCCCAGGCCCTGGGGCTTCCTGGTGTCCTGGCCAGGCAGGAGATAGCCCCTTCCCCCACTGCTACAAGAGCCCCATCAGGCTCTGGTGATGCAGGAAGGATGATTTCTTCCAGCCTTCCCCCAACTGCTCCTGACCCTCACCCCTGTGGACTGGAATCTGTTCTCACTATTTCTGTCCTCTTGACTGCTGGGAAGGGACCTCTGGGAGGGCATTGACCCATGGCCTAACTTTGTACCCCTTTTGCCCTGGAATGCCCCCATGCCCACTTCTCTACACAGCCACACACAGAGACTGCTGAGCACGTGTTAGCCTGCCTGTCTGACTCCTCACATTCACCCTAGCCTAGGAAGTAAATATGGCCATTTATTCCCATTTTACAGGTGGGAAAACCACAGCCCACAGAGGTCAGTTCTGGGGCAACAAGCTGGTCAACAAGATGGCTACGATTTAAGGCCATGGGGTGCCCACAGAAACCAAAGCTTTTGTCCCTCATCTTTGCTTCTCTTCAGACACTGCCTTCCCAGCCCAGATCACAGCACCAGAAAGATGGATCCCAGGAAGAACCTGACTGTCAAAATGATGGACTCAGGAAATCCAGGGTCAGGTGAGAGACAGACAGGGTGTTTAAGACCAAGCAGGTAAAGGGGTAAGGAAAGCTCACTGACTTTTTATTTTGTTTTTTAAACAAGAGAAGGAAGGGTTCATTCTGGCATGTAGTCTGAGGCTATAGTCCCAAATGGGAAGTGGTGTTGGGAGGTTTGTGAGGCAGCTGCAAACATTGTTTTTTGTTTTGTTTGGTTTTGATTCTTTGAGACAGGGTTTCTCTGTAACAGCCTTGACTATTCTGGAACTCACTCTGTAGACCAGGCTGGCCTAGAACTCACAGAGATCCGGCTGCCTCTGCCTCCTGAGTGCTGGGATTAAAAGCAGGTGCTACCACCGCCTGGTTGGTGGCTTCTTCTTCTTCTTCTTTTTTTTTTTTTTTCCCGAGACAGGGTTACTCTGTATTGTTTTGGAGGCTGTCCTGGAATTCGCTTTGTAGACCAGGCTGGCCTCGAACTCACAGAGATCCACCTGCCTCTGCCTCCCAAGTGCTGGGATTAAAGGCGTGCACCACCAACGTCTGGCTCTTCTTCTTCTTCTTCTTCTTCTTCTTCTTCTTCTTCTTCTTCTTCTTCTTCTTCTTCTTCTTCTTCTTCTCTTCCTCCTCCTCCTCATTCTTCTTTTTTTGGGGGGGATCTCCTTGAGTCCAGACTGAAACTTGCTATGTGGCAGAACATCTAAGCCCCCTGCATCCACTTCCTGAGTGATAGACTAGGGTAAAGATCCATACCAAGGATCAAACTAGTGCTTTTCTCATGTTAAGCAAGCATTTGACCAACTAAATTACACCACCAGCCTCATTGCAATTGTTTTTCTGAAAAGCAAGCTCCTGTGTTGACATGCACCTGTAGTTCTGGCTACACAGGGGGTAAACACTATTTGGAGAATGGCCTGGGGGACATGGTTCATTGAGTGAGACAACTTGATGTTTAAGCATGAGGATTTACCTGGGTTTGAATCCTTGACATCCATGTAAATACACACAGATAATACATAAATAAGTGAATAAGTACCTCATTGTGGTGGCACACATCTCTAATTCCAACACTTGGGAGACAGAAGCAGGCAGATCTCTGAGTTCAAGGCTGGCCTGGTCTACAAGAGAGGTCCTAGAGGACCAGAGCTACACAGAGAAACTTTGTTAAAAAAAAAAAAGAAGAAAAAGAAGAAGAAAAGAAAAAATATTTATATCAAGGCAATGGTGGCTCAAGCCTTCAATCCCAGCACTTGGGAGGCAGAGGCAGGCGGATTTCTGTGAGTTCGAGGCCAGCCTGGTCTACAGAGTGAGTTCCAGGACAGCCTCCAAAGCCACAGAGAAACCCTGTCTCAAAATAAATAAGCCCGTTACATGTTTATTAATGACACTATTTATTTGTTGGAAGTGTGCTCATGTCCCAGGCCAAGTGTGGATGTCAGAGAATAACCTCAGCTCTCTCCTTCTGCCAAGGGGAACTTGTGGATAGAACTCAGGTCTTCTGGCTTGGCAGCAAGAGCCTCTGCCTACTGAGCCATCTTATCAGCTTCCAAATAAAAAAACAGAAAGATCAAGGTGGTGAAGATAGCTCAGTCGGTAAAGTGTTTGCAGAACAAGAATGTGGACCTGGGTTTGATCCTCAGAACCCAACAAAAAGAAGTCATTTCAAGGGGTAAAGAAGCCAGAGCTGGGCATTGGTGGCGCATGCCTTTAATCCCAGCACTCCGGAGGCAGAGGCAGGCGGATCTCTGTGAGCTCGAGACCAGCCTGGTCAGCAAGAGTGAGTTCCAGGAGAGCTTCCAAAATAATACAGAGAAACACTGTCTCGGAAAAAAAAGGAGGGGGGAGGGGGATAAAGGAGCTTGCACATACATAAAATAAATAACTGTAATAGAATTTAGAACATGAGATTTGGGACACACCTCTGTGATCTAGCATGTGTGTGTGAGTTCATAGGTTTGATTCCCTAGCACCACAATAAATAAATAAAAATATAAAAATCATCATACAGGGACTGGAGAGTTGGGTCAGCTGGTAAGAACACTGACTGCTCTTCCAGAGGAGTTAGGTCCAATTCCCAGCACCCACATGGCAGCTCACAACTGTCTGTAACTCCAATTCCAGGGGACCTGGCACCTTCACATATATTCATGTAGGCAAAACACCAATGCACATAAAATAAAAATAAATAATCTTTAAAAAATCATACAGAAGCCTGGTGGTAGTGGCACGTAACTTTAATGGCAGCACTTGGAAGGCAGGGGCAGGCAGATCTCATGTGAGTTGGGAGCCAGCCTGATCTACAGAGAGAGAGTTCCAGGACAGGTTCCAAAACTACACAGAGAATCCCTGTCTAAAAAAAAAAAAAAAAAAAAAAAAATTGGGTCTCACTGTGTAGCCCTGGCTGGTCTGGTCTGGAGCTCACTATGTACTCCAGGCTGACTTTGAACTCACAGAGATTCCCTGGCCTCTGCTTCCTTAGTGCTAAAATTAAAGGCTTGTGCCACCAATAAATACTAAAGTCAGGTGTATCATGCAAGTTAAAATGCATTGAGAATTTGGTCTGGAGAGATGGCTCAGAGGTTAAGAGCACTGGCTGCTCTTCCAGAGGTCCTGAGTTCAATTCCCAGCAACCACATGGTGGCTCACAACCATCTGTAACAAGATATGGTACCCTCTTCTGGCATGCACACAGAACACTGTATATTTAATAATAAATAAAATAAATGCATTGAGAATTTATCTCATGACAGTCAAATGACTTTCATCAAGAAAGAGGAATAGAGCCGGGCGTTGGTGGCCCACGCCTTTAATCCCAGCACTCGGGAGGCAGAGGCAGGTGGATCTCTGTGAGTTCGAGGTTGGGCTGGACCGATAGCCTCCAAAACAATACAGAGAAACCCTGTCTCGAAAAAAAACCAAAAAAAAAAAAAAAAAAAAAAAAGAAAGAGGAATAGAGCAGGAGGCCCTGGAGAGAGGGCTCAGCAGTTAAAAGCACTACTGTTCTACCAGAGGACCAGAGTCTTATTCCCAGCACCCACATGGTGATTCACAGCCTCTGTGACTCCACTTTAAGGGGAGCTGACTCTCTTTTAGCCTTCCAGAACTCTTGCCCTTGACAGACATACATGCATGCAACACACCCATACACATAATACAATCTTTTTAAAAATGCTAGGTAGGATATAAAGAAAGATGAATTTTTTTTTTTTTAGGGAGAGCACTCCCCCAACCCCTCTCTCTCCCTCTCTCTCTTTCTTTTTTAAGTTTTCCACACCAGATTTCTCCCTGTGTAGCCCTGGCAATCCTGGAACTCACTTTGTAGACCAGTAGACCATTCAGACCTTGAACTCACAAAGATCCTCCTACTTCTGTTTCCCAAGTGCTGGGGGATTAAAGGCCTGCACTATCACAGCTCAGTGAAAGAGGAAAGAGGAATTCTTTTTTTTTTTTTTTTTTTTTTTTTTTTGGTTTTTTCTAGACAGGGTTTCTCTGTGGCTTTGGAGGTTGTCCTGGAACTCACTTGGTAGTCCAGGCTGGTCTCGAACTCACAGAGATCCACCTGCCTCTGCCTCCTGAGTGCTGGGATTAAAGGCATGCGCCACCAACGCCCGGCGGAAAGAGGAATTCTTATTCACTACTGGTGAAAGATAAACTAGTGCAACCATTATCAAATAAGCATGAAGGGTTCCAACACCACCTCTGTGATTATTGGTTTTTCCCTTGATAAACATTTTACGTCCCCTTGATACATAGAATACTCACACATCTAGCCTGGTCTACAAGAGCTAGTTCCAGGACAGCCTCCAAAGCCACAGAGAAACACTGTCTCGAAAAACCAAAAAAAAAAAAAAAGAATACTCACACATCATTAAAAAGTCCTTATAAACACCATTTGTTGTCAGGTTCAAGGCTCATACCTGTAATCTTAGCTCTTGAGAGATAGAGAAAGCCAATCAGGAGTTTAGAGACATCTTTGATTGTCTAGAGAGTTCATGGCCAGCCTGGACTACATGAAGTAAACATTATTTGTAAATCTAGTTACTCAAAAGGTTAAGACAGGATAAGATGAGTTATAGAGGTCAGGAATAGACTAGGGAGACACTTTTTTTTTTTTTTGGTTTTTTTGAGACAAGGTTTCTCTGTATTGTTTTGGAGGCTGTCCTGGAACTCCCTCTGTAGACTAGGCTGGCCTCGAACTCACAGAGATCCGCCTGCCTCTGCCTCCCGAGTGCTGGGATTAAAGGCGTGCGCCACCAACGCCCGGCTATTCATTTATTTTTGAGACAAGGTTTGTCACTGAACTTGGAACTCAAGAATTAAACTAGAGTGGCTGGACAGTGTGCTCCTAGGGTATCCAGCCATCTGCTCCCAAGTGTTGGAGTTACCGACCATGCCCAATGCCCACCTTTATACCTGGATGCTGGGCACAGGTCCTCAAGCTTACACATCAATCCCTTCAGCAACTGAGCCATATCCTCCACACATCAAGATTTCATTATCTATTTAGCTGCTTATGGCGACTTAACCTGATTCTTGGCTATTGTAATTAGTGGCATACATACATGTGTGTAGGTATGTATGTATATATGTATAAATAAAAACCAGGCACTAATTAAAAGTTTTCCAACCAAAATGCCCAGGCAGGACCAGAAGGATTTAATGCAGAGTTTTACCAGACCTTCAGACCTTCAGAGAAGAATGGACATGAATATTCTTCATTAAATCTGCAAAACAGAAACTGACATTTTCTTTTTTCTTTCTTTTTTTTTTTTTTTTTTTTTTTGGTTTTTTGAGACAGGGTTTCTCTGTATTGTTTTGGAGGCTCTCCTGGAACTAGCTTTGTAGACCAGGATGGCCTCGAACTCACAGAGATCTGCCTGCCTCTGCCTCCTGAGTGCTGGGACTAAAGGCGTGTGCCACCAACGCCCGCCGAAACTGACATTTTCTAATTCTTTTTAAAAAGGCATTCTTACCCTGATACCTAAACCATACAAAGACCCACCATAGAAAGAGAATTACAGACCAATTTCTCTAATGAACATAGATGCAAAAATTCTCAATAAAATACTTGCAAACTGATTCCAAGAACACATCAAGTGGGCTTCATCCCAGAAATACAAGGATGGTTAGACATATATAAATCAGTAAAAGTACTCCATTACATAAACAGATTGAAAGACAAAAACCGTGTGATCAGGCCAGGCGGTGATGGAGCATGCCTTTAATCCCAGCACTCAAGAGGGAGAGGTAGGCAGATCTCTGTGAGTTTGAGGCCAGCCTGGTCTTCAAAGTGGTTCCAGGACATCCAGGACAGTTACACAGAGAAACCCTGTCTCAAAACAAAATAAAACTAAACAAAAATATGATTTTTCTCAGAAACAGAAAAGATCTTTGGCAAAATCTAACACTCCTTCATGATAAAAGTCATGGAGAGAATATGGACATGAGGGACATAAGGCAAAAAAAAAAAAAGGTCATTTACAGCAAGCCCACAGCCAACATCAATCTAAATGGAAAGAAACTCAAAGCAAAATCACTAAAATTCACTAAAACTTCCACTGAAATCAGGAACAAGACAAGGCTGTCCACTCTCTCCATGCCTGTTCAATATCGTACTTGAAGTTTTAGCTAGGGCAATAAGACAACTAAAGGAGATCAAGGGGATACAAGTAGGAAATGAAGAAGTCAAGCTATCTTTATTTGCAGATGACATGATGTTATACATAAAAGACCATAAAACTCCACTAGGAAGCTCCTACAGCTGATAAACATTTTCAGCGAAGTGGCAGGATACAAAATTAACACACAAAAATTAGTAGCCTTCCTATATAAAAATGAGAGAAAGAAATCAGGGAAACAGCATTTTTCATAATAGCGTACAATAAATCTGAGAATAACTCTAACCAAACAGATGAAAAATTAGTGTCACCAGGCTGGAGAGTTGGCTTAGATGGTTAAGAGCTCTGACTGTTCTTCCAGAGGACCAAGGTTCAATTCCCAGCACCCACACGGCTGCTCACAATTGTCTGTAACTATAGTTCCAGGAGATCTGACACCCTTACACAGACATACATGTTGGAAAACACTAATGAACATAAAATAAAAATAAAGTTTAAAAATTGCATTGAGCCGGGCGTTGGTGGCACACGCCTTTAATCCCAGCACTCGGGAGGCAGAGGCAGGCGGATCTCTGTGAGTTCGAGGCCAGCCTGGTCTACAAAGTGAGTTCCAGGACAGCCTCCAAAGCTACAGAGAAACCCTGTCTCGAAAAACCAAAAAAAAAAAAAAAAAAAAAAAAAACTGCATTGGATGGTGGTCTCGAATGCCTTTAGTCCCAGCACTTGGGAGGCAGAGGCAGGCGGATCTCTGTGATTTCGAGGCCAGCCTGGTCTAGAGTTCCAGGACAGCCTCCAAAACAATACAGAGAAACCCAGTATCCAAAAAACAAAAAACAAAAACAAAAACAAAAAAACCCCAAGATGGAAGATGGGAAACCCCAAGATGGAAGATGGGAAGAATCTCCAATGTTCATTGATCAGTGGGATTAATATTGTGAAAATGGCCAGCGTGGTCTACAGAGCAAGTTCCAGGACAGGCTCAAAAGCTATAGAGAAACACTGTCTAGGGAAAAAAAAATGAAACCCTATATCGAAAAACCAAAGAAAAAACAAACAAACCAAAAAAAGAATATATCATATGAAAAAAAGTTACAAAAAGGCAAAAAAACTATAAAATAAACATGGATTTAGAGGTACCTCAGGAAGCCAGCTGGCCTAGCTACGCCAGGGGTGATACACTAAGTCTATTTTTCAAATCTTATTAAGACAGGGTTTTAAGCAGGGCGTTGGTGGTGCACGCCTTTAATCCCAGCACTGGGAAGGCAGAGGCAGGCGGATCTCTGTGAGTTCGAGGCCAGCCTGGTCTACAGAGGGAGTTCCAGGACAGCTCCAAAGCCACAGAGAAACCCTGTCTCGAAAAACCAAAAAAAAAAAAAAAAAGACAGGGTTTTTCTGTAGCTTCGGAGGCTGTCCTAGAACTCAGTAGATCAGGCTTGACCTCCAGCTCACAGAGATCTACCTGCCTCTGCCTCCTGAGTGCTGGGATTAATGGAGTGAGTCAACACCACCTCCATTCAGTGTGTACTCTTAAATGCTGAGTCATCTCCCCAGTCCCTCTCTTAGTATAGTGAGTAGACTGTATACCAGTTCCCAGAGTGGCTGGCCTGATTTACATTTCAACCAATAGAGTAGAAGGTCCCTCCCACTGTCATCCCCTGCATTTTCTTTTTTTCTTCTTTCCTTCCTTCCTTCTTTCTTTCTTTCTTTTTGGTTTTTCGAGACAGGGTTTCTTTGTATTGTTTTGGAGACTGTCCTGGAACTCACTCTGTAGACCAGGATGTCTCAAACTCACAGAGATCCACCTGCCTCTGCCTCCCAAGTGCTAGGATTAAAGGCGTATGCCACCAATGCCCGGCTGCATTTACTTTTAAATGGATGATTACAGCCATCTGACTGTGGTGAGATGGAATCTCAACGTAGATTGTTTGTTTTGTTGTTTCAGAAATTCAGCATTCTTGGGTTCAAAGCCAATTTATTTATTTATCTCATGTGTGTGACTGTTTTGTCTGCATTTAAGTATGTGTTCCATGCACATGCTTAGGGTTCCAAGAGGTTAGAGTTTGGAGAAGGGCTCGAATCTTCTGGCACTGGCATTATGAATGACTGTGAGCCACCACATGGGTCCTTTGCAAGAGGAGCAAGTGTTTTTTCTTTTTTTTCTTTTTTTTGGTTTCTCAAGTCAGGGTTTCTCTGTGTCTTTGGAGGCTGTCCTGGAACTAGCTCTTGTAGACTAGTCTGGCCTTTAACTCACAGAGATCCGCCTGCCTCTGCCTCCCGAGTGCTGGGATTAAAAATGTGCGCCATCCCGGCTCGGCAGAGGAGCAGGTGCTCTTAATCCAAGTATTGAGGTTATAGGAGTGAGTCTCCTTACCCTATGACTTTGCACTGTCAGCATGCTATCTTTATTACCATTATTATTATTGCTATTATCTCTATTATAACTTGAAGTATTTCTATATTTTCAGCATTAGTCTTTTTTTTTTTTTTTTTTTTTTTTGTTTCTTGAGCCAGGGTTTCTCTGTGGCTGTGGAGGCTGTCCTGGAACTAGCTCTTGTAGACCAGGCTGGTCTCGAACTCACAGAGATCCGCCTGCCTCTGCTTCCCTAGTGCTGGGATTAAAGGCATGTGCCACCACCACCCGTCATCAGTCTTCTTCTTGCTCAAGGTTGTTTTAAGTGATGTTATTTCCCCCATAAATTCATTATTTGTGTGCTTCTCTATTAATTTTACGATTGTCCTATTATTTTTGTTTTTCTAGACAAAGTTTTTTTCTGTTATATTTATTTTTTATTTTGAGACAGGGTTTCTGTAGATTTGAGACCTGTCCTAAAACACACTCTTTAGACCAGGTTGACCTCAAACTCACAAGAGTTCTGCCTGCCTCTGCCTCTTGAGTGCTGGGATTAAAGCTGTTCCATACCTGGCTTTCCTATATTTTTAGTGTGTATTTCTTTGGTTAGAGGAACAGTTGACTTTTTGGTGGGGTGTATGCCATTTTTTTCCCTTGGTTTTTTAATTTTTGGATGGAATTGTTGAGACGGGGCCTCATTATGTAGCCTTGGCTGGCTTGGAACTTAACAGAGCTCCACCTGCCTCTGCCTCCAGACATTTTTTTCTTTTTTCTTTTTTGTTTTTTGCCACACAGGGTTTTTCTGTATAGCTCTGGCTGACATGGAACTCACTGTGTAGATCAGACTGGTTCTAATTCACAAAGAACTGCCTGTTTCAGCTTTCAGAGTTCTGGGACTAAAGACATGCACCACCACACCCATTTTAAATCTATGGTTGTCTTATCATTTCTAGGCATTGCTTATGCATTGTACCCTGCTTTTTGGCTGGTACAACCCGCAGCAGTAGCTTTGTAATTTGTTTTAATAGGACAAATAGGCTTTCATTTCTGATTTTTTTTGTGACTCTAAGTGGGTAAGATGATAGTTTTTATTTTAGATATGTATTCGGGTGAACTAAGAATTTTAAGTCTATGACAGATCACATGAAGCTCGTACATGAGGGAGGGCAGCACGGTTGCACAATTAGCCTCTGCAAAATGTTATTGAATTGGGTTTCAATGTTGATTGGCCCTGGGTCACAATCTCCCTATAGAGCACTTGTGGGCACTGACTAGGACTTGGGTTCCTTTGTTTAGTGTTCAAAATAGAGAGAGGGCCATTCAATAACCCCCAAGAGAATTAATTACTCCGTGTAAGCCCCAATACATTTAGATGGTCACAAGCCTTTGGGTCTTACTTGGCTGCCTTTTGACCCTTAGGACCTTTTGTAGTCACCAGAAGATTCTGGATAAGCAAAGGGTGCACAGCGAACTCCTGGCCCTTGTGAGCAAGCAGGGTCGACCGACCTTCGTGGGTGTGGGTACAAGAACCCCAAGAGGCATTTGGGATTAGGACTCCTGCCCCCTCCCCCATGGTGTTTCGAGACTTGGTTTCTCTGTATTGCTTTGGAATTTGTCCTGGAATTCGCTCTGTAGACCAGGCTGGTCTCGAACTGACAGAGATCCACCTGCCTCTGCCTCCTGAGTGCTGGGATTAAAGGTTTATGCCTGCAAAGCCCGGCTGGACTTGTCTTTAAAATCAGAACCGTGCAGGCCT